TACCTACTCATATTCTGAGGCAATCGTGTCTTTATAGTGGTGATTGTGACATATAACACAATGTGATTACACAGAGAAGCTTTTTTGGAATAAACTGAAACAAAACGATGAATTTTTAGTTGAATTTTAAGCTTTTTATTAAACAGAAATATATCTTGAAATGTACGTTACATTTACGTAGTTTTCTAAATCGGCATGGATATATGTTAAAAAAGACAGTAACTACAAAATAGAATTTTACTACATGTACATGTTAAATTCCAGTATCTATAGAACATGACAAGATTCCAAACTGATCGCTCTAAACAAAACAGAGAGAAGAATTTAAAGCATATATTTAAAAAATGTTTTTATACATCTGGAAAGTAACCTTTGTTTTTTGAAAGGAAAAATCAAAAGCACGTTCGTATGCCGAGAAAATATGTTGCTGACAGAGTTGGTAGGATGTGCTGGTGTTAAGATGAGATATTCCAATTGTGATTTTAATGACTACATTTTTTTGACATATCTTTTTGGACATTGAAGAAAGAGTAACGTACATTCCAAGCTACATTTCTGAATAAAATCACCCTCTAGTTTACCGTCTTGTCATTATTCCATTTATTAAAATTTGATGAAAAAAATCTGGAAACAAAATCTTCACATACTTTCTTTCAAAGGTAATTGATAGAAAAATTGTTATCTTGAACTTCATTTTTTATTAAAAAATCAGAGAGGCATTTGTGCCGATATATTGAGAATGGGTGTTTTATAGATCATAATTACGGCAATCAAATGTTTGAAACGATCCCCATGAAGGAAAAAGATGGCACTCTTGTTTAAAAAAATATTTTCCCTATCTGTTTCAGATTAGAAATTTGAACAATAAAATGAATACATACAATTGTAATTTAAATTCAGGGCACATTGTCCCATTTGATTAAATTTAAAGTTGAAGGAGTTTAAGTAATAAGTATTTCCTACCACAAGAACATTTGAAATAAAAATTTAGCATTTCGTGGATAGAATCTTAAACACACTATAGGAAAATATGCAGAAATGAAAAGGTGAAAATAATGAAATAACAATCGATCACATAAATTAAACAAAACAAAACCAACGAGGGAAAAGAAAAACCTCAGATGCATAGATGTGAATATTCCCTGCTCACCTGTCACGCCTGTTGTCACATCATTGCGGTCTATATCAGGTAAGTGATGTTTTATCAACTGAGCGAAATAAGAAATCTTTTTTTTTTAAATGTTTGGTTATTCTCTTCAGACCCAATGACAAAATATCAACAAATTCAAAACTTTTTAACGCTTATTTTTACTCACTATGGAACATAAATTTTGAAAATATTCTGTGACAAAAAAAAATCTTTAATATGACATTATATTTTGCTGAATCGTAAATCAAAGGTACAAAGTAGTCCACCAATATTGCAAAATTTCAAATAATCGTTTTTGTACACGTAGAACGTGCTCTTGTTTATCTTAACTCGTTTTTTTATTCAGAATGGTCTACATTGGAAGAAAATAATCAGTTGCCTTCATATATTGAATGTATTGAAATAACGTATTTATTGTAAGATGATAATGCTTCGATGATTTATCTTATTGCCTAACTGAAGACCGCAGCAAGTGTTTTATTTATTTCTGTAAACAGGGTTTTGAATAAATTCGGCTTCATATGAATACAAAAATAGATCAGCTAGTAACATGGCACAACTTGTACTCATGGGAATTATAATAGTTTGTTGGACCTGCCGTTAATTAAAAGTGAATGCCATAGTCAATATAATGTATATAAAGGATTTTCTTTATTAATTCTGTTAAAGTAATACATTGAAACATAGTGGTTTATCTGTTTCCTGCTCGAATAGAATATAACATATGGAGATAACGAAAAGTATTCAAAATCAAAAGTCTGTCGATAAAACAATACAAAATCGGAGCAGAGCAAACACGGACCTCCAAAACATCAGAGGTGAGATCAGGAGACATGAAGGAGTAAGCATCCCCTGCCAACCAGTCACACGCGCCATGTGCTCCTAGTCATGTTCAGGAAATAACGGGAAAATCTGTCATCAATTCAGTGTATGAATAATAAATTAACAATAAGTATAGAAAACTGACAAGATCATTGTATCGACCATAGAACTTTCTAAATGATGACTTTAAAAGACACAGCTGAAATTTTTGTTTTGTCAACTTCTTTGTCAATAATTTGCCTCGTTTTGACATTGTTCATACGTAGAGCATGCTCTTGCGTATCGAATCAATTGAGCTATATACACTCTGTATGCAGGTTATGAAGGTTGGTTGTTAGATTACCATTAACGTCTTCTTCAAGTAAAATATCCAGAAGGAGTGAGGATCCCCTGCTGACCGATCACACCCGCAGTGTGCTCCATGTCATGATCGCAAAATAACGGAAAATCTGTCGTCGATTCAGTATTTAAATATTGGACTAACAATAAGTATAATAAACGTCAGCATTTAAATGGACGATAAATTATTTGCTTACAAGGTCATATTATCGACCATACAATTAACGAAATGATTATTTTAAACGAGACTGCTGATATTCTTGTTTCATCAATTGTAACTTTTTTGTCAATAATTTACCTCGTTTTATAAATTGTACATACGTAGAACATGTTTTTGTGTGTCGAATCAACTGATAGATATATAACTTCTTATGCCTTTCAATCAATTGAGTGGCGTACTAACACATTGTAGATGCTTTTGTCGAACATTCTATTGTAATCTTATTCCTGATTGGTGTAGTCAACTCAGCTTAATTCACTTGCGCTGTAGATCTTGGTATAAACACACAGGTTTGATTAGAATTACTTTTCCCGCCAGTCATTTTAAAGTTACAAGGTTACAACATTAACAACAACCTGGTGGTTCTGCTGTCCATATACGGTAAATCAACTTTTATTCACGTGCGAGAAATTTTCGCGACGTTCGCGAAAGCCTCGAAATTGCGAATATTTCTCGCCGCGAACCGGTCCTTAAAGAATTTATGTCTATTAAAAAACTTAATGGCGAAAATTAATCGTCACCAAGTAGTTTACTCCTTGTAAAGCGCGAAATACATAAAAGTCGTCGCGAATAATAGTTGGTTTACGGTAGTTATTCGCTTTCCTAAGATTTTTTTCAAAACATATTTTTTTTCATGATTCTAATGTGTAAAATACTTTATGTATATTTTAGACAATAATTTTATTGCTATTTGTTTGCTATTAAATAAAAATATAAACGTGAACCCGATGTTGTTCTTCTGTACACTAGTTTTCCTATTTTCTTAAGTCGAATTCGCGGGGTTATAAGTGGAAGACTCATTACAGTACGCCACTAAGAAATGGTATACAAAGATTATGTTATACTGGTAATCACTTGTCTCCCAGTTGGTATCGAAAAGCAGAGACAATTTTATGAGGTATTAATTGTTGCGCGAATTAAATCATTCCTGTCTTTTTATGATAAGTTTGACACTTCATTCATAGAAGATCGAAGAGTTTTTCTTTGAGATCAAATGCTTTAACAAGAGTCTTTTTCGTGCCATTTTTTAGTAAAGCACTATAACATGAAACGTCTGCAAAAAAAAAAATTGACTTGAATTTGAGTTTTTGCGAATAATATACCAAGTGCACGTAAAATCAAGGAGATTTACAATTTTAAACCTTTTTAAAACCAGGTTTCTTTTTCTGCCAACAGCAAAGAAAATGGTCTTTATTTTTTAAAACAAAAATGACAACAGTGGAAACTTAATGTATTGAATACGATAAACTAAAATTAAAAATGTGCATATTTTTGCTCTAAAAGCCTTAGAACATTAATACGAAACATTTTCTTTTAATGGGGATGAAACAATTTGTATTATTGATGTCAGGTATAGTACATTACTTTTAATTTATTTTTTTTATTTCAACTTAAAAGCTTCCAGAAATGAATACTTCACATACAGAATCGTAGGAAGATATTTTAGAGGGGGGGGGGGGACATACATAAATTTCTTTGGGCACACTTTCACCTATCAAAAATTTCTTTGAAAGCCAAAATAAGAAAAAAAAGATCATCAGACGTTTTTCTTGACTTGGCACAAGCAAATAGAAGCTTTGTTTTCTTTATGTTGACTGAATTTTTTCATATGGATTGTCAGGCCATTATTTACACACCAAGTTGTCCACGGGGTTTTCAGTTTTCCCCCGAACATGACAAGGAGCACACGGCGGCTGTGACCGGTCGGCAGGGGAATCTCACCTCTCCTTGGTACTTGATTCCATCTCTGATGTTATGAAGGTCCGTGTTTGCTTCTATCCTATTTTGTATTGTTCTATGGACTTTTGAGCTCGTGATCTCCACATATTTCAATAAAGTATTATTTACTTTTCTATATATCGGCAAAAATGACCGCCCATCCCGCTACTGGGACGTACGACTATGTTAAGGCTGCTTAATTTTTCCCGAATGCATCGGGTTACAAAAATATTATTACCAAAAATAGTTTTTACATCAAATATGACAAGAGACATTTTCCAACTATCCCAAAGAAAGAAATGAACCCAAGGCCATAATTTGTACAAAAAATGGGTCATTTTTTCTACATATGGTATTGACCAGGGAGTCAAATTCTACGTAGAAAGATGAAGATATTCTAAACTTGTTTTAAGGTGTCCCTTTTCATTAGTCAGCATTGTGCAGTCATTCATTGGACTCAATAATGTTTGTTAACATTAGTTACAATTTTTTTAATATAACAACACATTCCGATCAATTTTAAATCTTTTTTTTCAAAATAGTACCGGATGTTTATATATTTTACAAAGGATGTAACGGGAAAATTGAATAAATCTACATTCTATATATGGCTGTTAAAAGTATAATTCAATTTAATTTGAGTGAAAGTCAGATTATAGGACAGTTTTAATTAAACATCTATTTTTCCTGGTATTTTTGTTAATTGGTGGTTTCGTAGAATTAACTTCCCTAATCGAAATGTACAACTAATGCATGTATAAACAAATAATGGAAGTAAATTTTAAAACGAAATGGTATTTGTCAACAATAATATTGATCCAAACCGCTGGAGTGCTGAATACTCTGGACTTCAAAAGGTACGAAATTTTAACATTGAACATATAATTTGCTGAATTAATGTAATGGAGAAAATAAATGTATCTCTCAATTTTAGGGGCAGTTCTACATGTAAATATAACTTCTATTTCGACAACCAATCAATGGACTGTATGGGTAAGTTATTTTACATGTATACACTACATGTATATCAGTGCAATTTACAAATTTAAACATTATTTTAAATTTAATGATATCAAAAAAATATTTCCAACAATTTTTTTTTCAAATATTTTTTTTTGTTTTCTTGTTTTGAACATGATTTTTTTTATGCAGAGTGTCCATGGGGAAGTTTTGGGTTGAATTGTTCACAAGAATGCATTTTGGGTTTCTATGGCCGTCTTTGTCAGGTTGCTTGCGAATGCAAATCACAACATTGTAATCCTGTAAATGGATGCCAGATAAATGTTACTCAAAAAGGTATTTCTCTGTTCATAATTTGAATTTTAAATATTATTTAACTGAATATATATGAAAAATACGAAAGAGATTTAAAGGTTTTGGCTATTTTATCCATGCGTTTTTATTGGTATTTTTAGTTTTGTTTATGAATAGCAACTTTAAAAACTAAATTTATAATTCCAAAAGTGTCCACAGAAGTTATAAAGTCGAGACAACACACTGAACTAATGTCAAGACGGTTAGAGACCTCCATGGATATTTCAACACTGAACACGGCAACACAATCAGAGACATATCTGGATAAGTCAACGCTAGAAATGGAGACTACAACATCCAGTAGATTAAAACAATGTTACCTCATTATTTAATATCATAAATCTGCTATGAATCTGTTATGTAATGTAGATAAAGGTACTGAATTGATTTTTGGTTAAAAAATGGTTTCAATTATGGTGTTATGGGCACGTCTAAGATTTAACATTATCAATGCAAGGATAAGTGTGATCAAGATTAAAGTATTTGATTTCCCCTTTCACCCACATTATTTGAAGAAATCAAAGGGAAGAAAAAGCATTTTCCTAGGATTTTGCCACGATGGAAAGATAAGGGTTGGGGATAGGTGTCACTCCCTGCCTAGATAGCTTACATGTTATGTGTGCCTGAAATGACCGATTTGTATGCTAAATATCTGCATGGCTAAATAATGACTGCATTTGAGAATAATAAAATTGTAGTTAATCCTATAAAATCACATCTTATTTTATTCCCTTACATTTCAGAACTTTCATCATCATCATCATTTATGAGTAATATTACTACAGTTCGGGATCACGGACGTTTACCTCAATCAAAAGCATCAACCAGTATATTCGAATTTTCTTCATCGGAGAAGCCTAAGGAAATAACAGAATTTCCTACATCTGTAAAACCCTCAACATCATCATCAACATCATCATCAACAGATAAAACAAAACAGAACAATCATTGGATGTTGGTTGCCTTAATTCTGATTGCTTTGATAGCAGCAGCATTTGTTGGTGGAGTTTTTAATGCACTCAAGTAAAAAACATTATGCCCAATCACTTATTTTGGCAAATACAAAGACAACGCCTTTTTTCAATTTATAATTATTTTTTATAATAATGAAAAATACTGGTCATCTAATATCTTTTCAGACCTAAATGTAGAATGCCTGTTGTTTGTAATGCAAGAAGTTCTAGTCAAGGTAAAATAGACATGTATTTACCCGTTATAATGAAAAAAGTAAGAAAAAAATAAAAATGATCGGTTCCATGAATCTTTAAAACAATACTTTTCTGTGAATAAGACATAGCAAGGATCCATTGAAATTCAAGAGGTAGGACCAGCTAAAGTGTCTAGAAGTAATAATTTTTAAGCGTATCCTTTAATGATGATAAAATAAAAGGAAGGATTAATTGTTCGGTGGATTGATAAGTTTCGAAACTAAACATTATTACCGTGTCTAAAAATTTAAATCAAGAATCAAATTATTTAAATCCATTTATTAAAAAATTGATATTTATATATTTTGCTCTTTTTTTACAAATAGATCACGCAAATGTCAACGCTCAAAAGATGAACAAAAATATTCAACAAAGAGATACCCCAAGGACTTATGATGAAGAGACCCAAGACTATGATGAAATTCAGAAATCCCAACTAAATGAACAATTAAATCCCGCTCAGTGTACCTCTATCGAGTTCAGAAGCGAGAATGCTGAATCCGAACTTAGATCTAGTAACTCACAAAAACAAAGCATGTATAAAAGGATCTCGTTCAACTGTGATTACAACATCTTATTGTTAAAACAAAGACAGAGTTGTGCTATCTATGATCATGACTGGCGTAGCACTGGGGCTATTCTTGGTACTGATGAAGAGTTTGTTACACTTACAGGAGGCGAAAGTTTGAATCTACCCGGTACAGCTGAAGATAATATTTTCCAAACTTTGACTCGTAACTTTGATTTTAGCCGAATCAAAGGAGAAGAAAGGCTTGATTGTTCACTTGGATTGATCCGATCTACTTCTGAATCTCAACTCTCTGAATTTAAATTTGCTCCCAATTTAAGAGAAAATGGCTTTGACAATTTATCGAATGAAGTAGGGCTTTATTGTGAAAAAGAATCTATCGAAGTAGCAGAGAGACCATATAGCATCTCACAAGAAAATATTCAGAGAGAAGTTCAAATGAATGAAGTAGAAGAATTTAAACCAGAGATGGAGATAACACGATTTTAGTTGTGTAGGATGATTTTCAATAATGTGTGTCTCAATACTTTCAAAGTCATCTGGGAAATGTTTTAGAATAAAATTTGTTAATCGCTGGAATCGAATCCTTGAATTTGTTTCCCTTAACAGAAAGTAAACTAAAAAAAAAAAAAGAAAACAATTTTAATACACACTGTACAATCACATAAATTATTGAAAATTTATTTCATTACAAATAAATTTTATGGAGAGTATACTTTTGTGCATCGATTCAAATGGAAGTCATACTCCGGAAAATGATTTAAACATTACTCAAAATAGTACAAGGAACACTCGATATTTGTTGTATTTGAACTTTGTTCTACATTGGAGTAGTGCTTCAAATATATTTTATTGTAAAACGTTTTTAACAATACCTTGTCTGACAATATATAAAATTACAGTCAATTCTCGAATTATCGCCATTCGATTCATCGCCATTTTCGCAATACCGCCATGATTTCCCAAGAACGGTTTTCCTGCTATATAAAATTCTCTTTATAACGCCAAATTCTCATACCGTCATCCGCCACCCTGTTTTCACAACAAACGTCCATTTTTAAGTGTCAATTATCTCGATATACCGCCACAGGTGCGTGCGGTCAGTGAAGCGCGGCTAATTGGTTGACACTATCCCTGTTGTAAAGCATGCAAACACAGACAAGGTACATGCAATTAAGTAATTAAACAAGAACTAAATGAACAATAATTTTAACATGAACTGTTATAATAATTTTGTTTTGTGTTAAAAAAAAATTCATTTAGTCACGGCTTTGCCACGAAAACGGTCGTTGTTAAAGTACGCCGATAACTATATTATTTAGATGATCTCTGCTTTAAACAATGCAAAGGTTGCTGAAAAAATAATTATACTGTATAAATTGTGAATGTTAAATTACCAATGATGCCATAAAGAATGAATTTATTCAAGAATTCATTTTACGTACTTTCGGCAATATATCACGACAATTGACCCAGTATGTTTTTTTTTTTTCAATAGCAGACGTGCAGATTTACATGCACACCCATGTACTTGTCTTTATTTCAAAGCTGCACATTTTGTTTTTGCGAATTTGTACATAAAAAAATTACTTGAAGTATTTTCAATCAGAAATATGTTTTTATATACATATACATGTAATAATAAGAATCGAAACGCTAAATGGTATTTCTAAGAACGGTAACTCTACTTCTTGTTTTCCAGAAGATGGGAAATTCAATTCATCGCCAAATTCGTTATACCGCCAAGATTTCTAAATTACAAAAGGTGGCGGTTTTTTGAGAATTAACTGTAAATATATATAGAACGGGATTTTTTGCTTAAGTGATGCATTGAAGATTAACTGCCGCCTGATTAACAACTGCAAGTATTTATGTTATAGCAAATATCGGAGCCCTGAAACTTTGAAATCGTATGTCTTAAGTTGATTAGTTGGTTATTATCTGAAATAGAAATCTGCTCTGTTTAACGAATTTTTCAACATAATTAAATGCGGGAGTGTCAGAATACAGTATCTAAAGTATGAATTGTTAGATTTTGCTAATGAAGCACTAAAACAAAATTGAATTTCAATAATTAAGACCTGCTGATCTATTGCATCGTCGAACATACAATGACTTAACGTAACATGGGATAATTAATTCGTAAAGAAATGACAATAACAATATTAATATTTGTAATGGAAGAAAAATAAATGGCAATTTATATTTAAAAATTAAAAAAAAACAACATTAAAGATTTAATTATGGTATACTATCCTTTTGCGTCAACAGTGGCGGGGTAGTTTATAGCTTGTCCGGAAAAGGGATGTTAAACATTATTAAACCTGCATAATCTATAGCACTTAAAGGACTTGATCATGTCGACTGCATACTGTCTTTAAGTCTCAAAATTGATTCGCTACACAATAGAGTTCTCTTTAAGTAAAACCAATTATTTACTTGAGACAGACTACTCACATATACATTGATGCAATAAATATTTAGACAACCAAATTGAAAGTCATCATTTTGCAATTGCTTTGTATATTATATTGACATTGTCAAATGAATATATAACCAATGTTTGACTACCCTATCTCTGTTTAAAAATTGATTGTACAAAGAAAACACCCTTTAGTAGGACAAACGTTGGGAAAGTTATATGTAGGTGATAGCAAAGCATTCATAAATAAGTAAAGTTGACAATTGAAAAGCTGAAGTCATTGTTTTTGTCATATAATTTAATCGTTAGTTAGCCTTTGTAGTTTATAGTCAGTAAACATTTAGATATGAAAGAAATGTCGCAAACTGTCTGGTGTCTTTTTATCTTTTATTTAAATTATATTTTATAGTGACTGCTTGTATTTGTAATCTGTGTGATTGAAAAGAAAAAACAGACATATGAGAAATATTTCTATATTACGAGAGCATGCATGATTTCTAGAATCTGTATACAGGAAAAATTTCAACCCCGTTTTTTTCGCCCCTTACACCCTACCCTGATGTGGGCGAATTAAAAATAGAACAAACGCAAAGAATACAGTATAATTTCTTTAGCAAAAACTATGACTGGGCGAAGTTAAAACGGGTTAAATCGTTTGCAAGTGTAAAAGGGCGAAAGTAACACGAGTCGAAATTATCCATGTTTAATTGTTCAATTACCTCACCTTTGCATAAAATTTTCTGTTTTGTTGTTCTAAATGTTGAGATGTGAAAATTACTTGTAATATGAGTTTCTGATAACCAAGTTAATGCTATATTAAAACACTTGCCAAATTTATGCCAATTTAAATTGTGGTATTTTTGTTTCAAATCAATTTTTGAAAAGTGCTGAAAATGGAATATGGTGATAAAGAACAGTATTCAATCTCAAAGTCCATTCAAACAATACAAATCAGTAGAAGAGCAAGCACGGACTTAAAAAATATCAGAGGTAGGATCAGGTGTCATGGAGGAGTGAGTTACCCCTTCCGACCGGTCACATCCGCTGGGAGCTCCTTGTCTTGACTGGGAAAAATCCGTAGACAATTCATTGTGAAATATAGCTGCCTAATAATTAGTATGCTAAAGTTTTGTATTTTTCTAAATGGTTGTTGCTGACAAGATCTTGTATAGACCACAGAACATGCAAAATGTTGACTTTAAACGAGACTGTAGATATTCCTGTTTCCTCAATTACAAGTATTCTACTCTTGGACTTTGATGCAGTTCTCCACCACAAGTGGAGGCATCTCCATATGAGTGGACAATCTCGAGAGGGACGTTAAAGAACAATTAATCAATCTGACGTCAGAACATCTAACATATTCAATTTTTTATGAATTTGCTATCTTATTATTTTGCGTAAAGTGAAGATACACAGACACAATGTTGCATGTAGTATGTATTTCTTGGCGTTTCTGGCGTTGAAATATATATTAAATATATTTAAATGAGTATTGTTAGTTTTTTTGCAGTATTTGATAAGTTTTGATATTTTTTTCAGTCCCAACTCATTGTATTGTTTGGTTATTTAAATTATGTTTTATATTATATATTGCTTGGAGCTTAGTCATCAATGAAACACACATTTTTTTTTTATTATGAAATGCTAGTGAATGAATTTTTAGATGAGAAAATTATTAAGGAAGTAACTTTTCAAAGTGCAAAATCAAATCAAACTCAGATTTAAAGCCTCATTTAATATTTAAGTTAACAGATCCTGAATGTTTATAGTAATCATCAATTCACGATATGCTTTAACAAAAATGAAGTTTATCTCCAAAGTTATCTTATTTGAGATAATTGTTAGTACACAATCAGTCTTATACATCCAAGAAAATTGTTCAAGGTAAGTTATTTCTTGTCTTCAGGTTTCCCCGTGTATCTTTAAAACCGTTGCATTACATTAAAGAAAAATATTCAGGTTTTTTAAGATAAAATACAACAGTGTTCAAATTCATAACTCAAAAGATAAATCGTTCAAAGGGCAGTCACAACCGATGTGGTAAAAAAAACTTGTTCTTTGTTTACATTTTTCTATTAAATATTTGTTTAATTATTAATAATTAGACAATTATCTCAAATGAATTTTAATGCAGAATTAAGGTATGTCAATCGTGAAATTTGTTAAATCAAGGATTTTTTGAGAAGTATATTTTTGATAGGTACACATATAGTGTAACTCAAAATCGCAGAGAAAATAGGGGGTCAGTGTGCATCTTACTGATCTACGGTACAAATAAGTTGACCTTTTTGCACATAAATCTTAACTCTTTGGTTTAATACTTTAACCTTTGTTATATTTTATCAGATGTAACCATGGCAATAAATATAATCTTATTTTACGTGAAATGTTTGAGTAATATTTATGATTGAAAAAATCTTGCAATTAATGCGCGTAAATTTTTTCATAAACTTTTTTGCACTAAAATGTAACATGTTTGGGGTATTTTAAAAAACTAAATAAGCAATAAAACATTTTCTTATTTCAAACTTTTTACGACTTAAGTGCTGATCAGTCACAAGTACTGAGTAGTTCAAAATAATGAAAGAAAAGGTTGGGGCCAGTGATGTGAAGTTTGAAATATTGGTCAAAATCTGTGTGATTTTCAGGCAAAAAATGGTGTAAATTTATCGTGACTTCTTTAACACATCTTCATATTTTTGGCAAAGTTTGTTAATAGAGGGTGTAAAACTTCTTGTAAAAATTATAAATAAAGACCTATATTAAATATATCTAGCAACATCCTAACGGAAAATATACTCCCAGTAAAAGTATTTTAGGCTAAAGTTTCACGATGTTGAATTCAATAAATTTGCTGATTTGCAGAATTTTCTGCCAAATATCCTTCCATCACAAAAAAAAGTCCCACATAAATCTAGCTTCTTTGTAGATTTTTGAGCAGTTTTTTCGTTGAATACAAAAAAATTACATTATTGAATTTTAATATGTCATGAAAATTGAATTTTAATAAATAGTTTTGAAGTAATTAAGAGGTTCTGCGAGAAAAACAGTTGACGAGTGACATACCTTAATAACTTAATATTATGGCCAAATACAGAAAGAAACGTTTTTACAATTTATTTCACAAACTTTGGGACTAAGTTAACACACTTAGAAAGATCGATACTTTTTTTCAAAATGCGTTTAATTGAGCTTTAATAAAAAAAAAATGTGCTCGACTTGATCACTATTCTCGGAAATTTCAGGTATGCATTGCAAATTTACGAGTTCCATTTTTATTGAAAAAGCAGATGTCAATGATATCAAAAAGCCTGAATTTAAATTTATCGTGTGGATTTTTTTAGTATAAAATTGAAACGTTTTTAAGCTGTTGCTTTTGGTAATTTCTTGTAATTCAAAAATTTTCAGAAATTTCCTACAAATATTTTAAGAATCCACATCTTATTTAAGAAGAAGGATATGGAGATAACGAACAGTATTCAACCTCAAAGTCCATAAAACAATATAAAATAAGAGCAGAGCAAACAACTTCTCGAATGTAAAGTTGAACAGCACTCTTGGAGTTTTCCTTTCACTACTGTTATATCTTAATGAGTAGAAGAGAAAGAGGTTGATTGAACATTTACTGGAAACCACTATTTATCTTTGTAAGGAGTTTTATGACGTTTCGGAATCCAATATAGATATGGTACCTCAAATTCATTTTGTTGGTTTGGAATTTTAAAAAAAATGTTCAATTGTAGAATTAAAGTCCATTTGATTTAATGAGCCTTTCAAACAAAAACAAATTGTTTCCTGCTTTAAGAGCAGGGACCAGTATTGATCATTTAATTTTATTCTTAGATAGATGCAATATAACATTTTGCTTTTCCTGTAAATTTTTAAGCATGCAAATATTTTTTAATTAAATGCACCTCTGTAATAATTATTCTAAATATCACAACTGTATTGATTTCCAAAATTACCACACGTGTATTTAAATATATGTAACACGACTGATCAAGGTCGTTAACACGGTCGAAATATTCCAAAAAAGTGTTTGAAAGTTTTTTTTTATTTTGTTATTTAAATATAAATAATATAAATAATCAAGCAACATTAGGGAAATCGGATCAATTACGATTTTCCATACAATGAATTCAAAACTCTCTCTCTCTCTCTGTAATATATCTATCTATCACATTCATCAATCTATCTTTCGTGAACATAATATAATATTTTAAAAAATTGTTAAAATATTAGAAAGTAAGAAAAATAGTTCTTTTCTTACTTTACTGAAATTTATTTATTATATGCATTCGATCTCATTTGAGGTCTGGAAAAACATTTCTGAATTTTATATAAGTTTCTTTTCATTTGCATCTCATTTTAAAAGTTACTTTGGTCAAAGTAGAGTTAGTTGCTTATTATCGCTAAGATCAGCAATATGGTTCCTGAGCACTTTTTTTATTTTGATATAACAGGATGCCTTAATTGTTTTGGTTTTTTTTTTTAGGAAAGCTTATATTAATTATTTAGATCTCTTCATACGATAACTAAACTTCAGAGAAAGTATATCATTGTCATACACGTTATATAAATATATATGTATTTGTATAGAAAAATTAAGAGTTGGGTTGAAGGAATTTTTTTATAACCCTTAACGTTTGGTGGAGTATATTTTAAACGCTTTACACTAGAAAATACAACGTGCAGGTAAAAGAACACAAGTCATCTTTTTACTTTCCATGCATTCTAAAAAATGATTTATTTTTTCCTTTTTAGCTTTTGCTCATTTTCAGTACCTAAATCAATTACACATATTTATTCATGCATACAGAATGTACAAGGATATGTCACTGTTATATCATATTTTTATTATCTAAGTTATATTAGTTATCCATTTACTTATCTATTAGAGGTACATGTGTTTTTGAAATTATTGCTGACAGATCTCTTTTTGAAGAAGAATAAGATATCAGATTTTAGATCAAAAGGATTAATAATTAAATACCAATTTCTTTGCTGTTCTGGATTTTTTAAAGAAAGGGATATCAGTGCTGCTATAACCAGTATCTAAACGATAGGACTAAAGAATGTACTGGTACGTATATTTTTGATTTTCCTTTCAGCTCGGAATTAAAATACAATGAAAATAAAATACTGGAAATAAAATACGCGACACAAACAGTTTGGTATACAAATCTCTATACAACGGTTTCTTTTTTATGTTTGTAACCAGAACAACATATGAACAATGGAACCTAAAGTGTATTTAAATATAGAAGTTTGTACATAGTTTTCATATGTACAAAATAGTAGATAAAAGACTTTTGATCTTATCCATTTTTTTTCATAACCAGAATGTCCAGCTGGATCTATTGGATGGAACTGTGAGCTGAGCTGTCCATCAGGATATTACGGACGCTTGTGTCAATCTCAATGCAAGTGTCCAGTTTCCAACTGCCATAATGCTACAGGATGTACAGGTAACATTATTATTCAGACAAGTAACGGACGATTTTGTTTATCACTCTGCGAGTCTCCAGTCTGCTATCTTGTTACAAGATGTAATACAGGTAACACAGTTATTCAGACAAGCAAGGATTCTAAAGACTTTGATAAGACAAAAAATCAATTAAACATGACCCGTAAATAGGCATACGCCATTTTCATACGCCATATCATTATCCACAATAAGGGCTTGAAAAAAAATGGATTTATCGGTATATTGCAATTTAATAAGTAAAAAACTAACATAGTATTTCATACGTTTTTGTACTATCAATATATCAGCAAAATGTTTAGAATAAGGAATTTTATAAATATATATAATTATAAATGTAACAAATGTTTGTTATTAGGCCAAACAGTAAGACAAATGTTGTTTTATGGATGAATTTAAGAGCACATTTTTTTATGAAATGAACAAGATTGTTTTTTGTTTCGGTTACTTTTCAAAGTTATGTACATTCTGTATATGAAAATAACGAACATTATTCAATATCAAAGTCCATAATACAATACAAAAAAGTCAGAAGTGGGATCAGGTGATATGGAGGATTGAACATCTCCTGCCGTCCGGTCACCCCCGCCGTGTACTCCTTGTTATGATAGGAAAATAACGGAAAAATTCAGTCGTCAATTCAGTGTATAAATAATGGACTAACAATCAGTGTTTAAAAAAGTCAGTCAGCATTTGACTCAAATTGAATGATAAACTGTATTTGCTGACAACGTCATTGTATAGTTCTAATATATATGTAGTCTTGTTCCATCAATTTTGTCAATGATTTACCTCGTTTTTGAAATTTCCACTTGATAAAAAATACAGTTTCCGCATGGCTGAAACTCTACTGAAACTCTACGGAAACTTAAGCTTACTAATAGTCTCTGCAAATTTCAGTGCGGAAACTTTAAGTTTCATTAAGTTTCCGCAGTGCATGTTCATACGTAAATCATGCTCGTGCGCATCGAAGCAATTGAGATATACATACACCCCGTATACAGATGATAAAGGTCTATAGCTGCATAAGTAAGGGAATTTGAGGATAGAAAAGTTAGTCATCACGTTTATTATAGAGCTTGGAGATTACCATTATCGTCTTTTTCAAGTAAAATATCCAGGTATGATGTCAGATGTGTAAGACCCCTTGGTATCTTATAACTCAAGCTCACCAGGATATATCGTATTGACAAAGGAATGGAAACGACCATTGTTAATTGAAACACGTCTTCGATATATCTAAAGACGAGTTGAAGGCCACAACAAGTGTTTTCTTCTTTTCATAAAAAAATTGCAGAAATTCTGCTTCCTATGAATACAGAAAAAAGGTCTGACAAGAGCGCAATTGGTACCCATGGAAATGTGTGACCGGTCAGCAGGGAATGCTCACTCCTCCATGACACCTGATCCCACCTCTGATGTTTCGGAGGTCCGTGTTTGCTCTACCCATATTTTGTATTGTTTTATGGACTTTGATATTGAATATTATACAGTTATTGACTGGGTATGAGGGCAACATATGATTTGTTGGACCTGAAGGTAAAAATGTTGCCCGAATCCCAGTCTATAGCTGTTTTGTTGTATCCTTCAGTGCTCACTTAAGATTTAATCAATACACACTATATCATTAATTACTTAATATGGAATATTATGGCTTAATCAGTAAATAAACAATAGCTGAGAAAGAACAAAATTAATTATTACTTTTATTTTATTACAAAAACTGTTTATCACAAAACAATCTCTTCCCGTCTTCCTTACCTTGCTGGTAGCACAACTCTTACAGCTATTTCCGTGTTGCCGATATTGAACGATGATTAATTGCTTGTTACGTAGCAGTGACGTTGCCGTCTAACAATTCTTATGTTAGACCGGCAGGCCGGTCAACAGTGAAATTGTTAGACCGATGTAATAAACATTTCTTTTGTTGGACTTTTAATTAGTAATAAGTATATAGAAAGCTATTTATAAGGGTATAACAATGTTTGTTATCTCCATATCCTTCTTGTAAGACCTGGTCTCCTAAAACCACATGCATGTAAATTAAAGTGTATATTTATACATGTAATACGGTAATGTCATGATTGTAATTTTCATTGAAAATATTTCAATACATAACTCAGTACATGTAAAAGTATCGCTATACAAAATCTCTGAAATACCCTGTCCTATCCTCAATACATCAAAATCAAGGTATAACCTTTGCATTCTTTACACCCGAGTGTTTTATTGTTACGGATATTGTTTATCTCGCATTACCATTGTTCACATATTATTGCAATTACATGTATCTGTGTTTGTATCTGTGTTTGTTTGTATACTGCACTGAACTGTTCAATTACAATTTATGTATTTTATTTCCCTGCATTTGACGAAGTATCAGTTATTTTTCTCGCTACCGAGTGCTGTATAGCATATGATCGGTGTCAACTGATTGCAATGAACAGTGTTTAAGTGAAGTCCTATATACTGTACAGCAGGAAATTAACTCGCGGAGTTAATATTTGCTATATTCGCGGAAAAAGAAATTCCGCGAATTCATAATACAGTGAATAATTCTCAAAAAGTTTCTGTGATTAGATGTAGACTGTCTTTATAATTATGCGAGTGTCTGGATCAATTATAAACAAGTCGTTGTTGCTGTTTTTAAAGCGTTTTAATTGTTTAATTTATTTCTATATCTAACGATTAATTTTGGCATCTAGTAGACGTGCGATGTTATTAGTAAATAAAACATGCTTGTTTAATTTCACCCGTGCATATCACTCAGTCATTACCTATAATCAAGGTATTTACTTAGTAAACAGGGTATAACGACAATTAATTAATTTCAATTATATGATTAAGAGATCAACATTTTTACTACTGTATTATTTTTTCTGATTTTGACCCAAAATAAAAAAAAATACAATGCGTAGCATTATTTTGACTTCAAATCGGGATCAGTCCGGTGTTTCGTTATTATTCAATCGGGATCAAAATCGACACAATATATAGACTTTACTTTTCTTTCTTTTATGCGCGATATACAATTATACTACAGGAAATAGCAGTTCACACAAAATATACCTACAGAAAATGCTTGCAAGTACTGTCTAAGAAATGTATGGTTTTTCCTTTTCCGCGAATTCAAACCACCGCGATTTGCTGAAAATTGAACAAATCGCGATCTCTTCCAACCGCGTTTCTAACCTGCTATACAGTATAGGGGGCCTTCAGATAAGACAGGAAGCCGAACAAAAATGGCAAAAAAACCCTTGATTTGATTTTGAAAATAATAATGGTCTACGGTAATTATTAGAAGTGTCTGAAGTTCTCAACATATTTAAAAAGTTGATCTTTTTTCCTTTTTATTTCTTATTCTTTTTTCACATTCGTTGCAACTTTTTATCATTTGAAAGGAAAAGAGCATGGCAATATAAAGATGTCTTCCTTACAACTGCCAAATGAGTTTACAACAAGATCTAGAGAGAAAGGCCAGGACATCATAACACCAAAAGAGCCAAATGGAGGTACAACACCAGAATCCATAGATATGACAGACTCAATACAACGTAATTTCAATAAAAGAAAAACTCAATTTTCAGTAACATAATACACTTAATTATTGACTGGGTTCAAGGGTAGTGTGTGTTTTATATTGCCCAATATCCAAACTGTTACTGTCAATTATTGCTCGAGAACACGGTCAACGAGTGCTTTTAAATACCTTTTAATTTTGATATGTCATGCATGGAAACGCCTGCTTCCATTACGATTTTTGACAAGATATAGCTGACTCCGCCTACAACGTCACGTTAAATACGTCATATCTGTCCGATATCTCATTTGTGAGTGTGATATCTCACTCAACGGTCCATTGGTAATCTTTTTAATTGCTCAAAAACGAAAAAAATTAAAAACGTTATACTATTATAGAATTTTTTTAAAAATTACAACGTAAACCAGAAGCCCTTATAATTTAAAATCACATATCAACATTCAGTTCAAAATCTGCAAATGATAAGGGGAAAATTGCGGAAAACGGAGTGGGACAGACTGACAGACAGACAGAGGGAAGGAAGGATATAGACCCACCGGTAGGGGACAAATAATTCAATTCAATTTGTTGATTCACTAAACGTGTTGGCAAACAGCCATTGTTCATACAAAATGAAAAGTACATTCAATGTGTTTTTATATTACTTAATCAGTGTAAACATGTTTACAACTTTCAAAGTCCATTCATAATAATTTGCAAACGTTATAAAAGACATATGACTTTTCTATGACAATTAGAATAACAAACATCTTCTACGGTGAAGCAACTGTTTGATTAAAACAAATATAGTGGAATCATCATTGTTCGGGGGTAGGGCTGCTAAGGTATTTCGTTGGTCACCCTTTTACTCACGAACGATTACTTGGTAAACATATTGCAATTGATTCATTGAATCTACCGTTTAAATAAGCAACCCATTAAATCATGTCACTACAAACACATAGAGTGTTGCTTACCTCAAACATGGACCCTCACAAATTATTTAAGGAATGTTTTTAAGTTTTGTGTGAGTTATTGGTGTGTGAATGACACAGACATGTTACGTAGGCAAATTTCATGAAGCGTGCTAGCGCTTCATTAAAAATATGCCTACGTGCAAGTCTGTGTGATTCACACACCAATAATTCACACTTAACTTAAAAACATTCCTACTATTTACATTTTACATGTATGAATGCACCAAAAATATACTCAATATTTGACTTTCTCGCTGCCATATATCGTTATAATTTTACTATCGTCGCTGTTGCCTTATTGTGACGTCATGCTAACGCACGTTCCTACGTGTATATTTCTACGCGTGAGTATACACGAAAATAGTTTTCAAATCAATTTTACTGTTGGCTTAGTAGAAAAACACAGCGAATGTAAATATAATGATTTAAAAGTACGTAATATTCAACGTGTATAAACGTACAAATAGATTCTGATCCATGACATTAGGCTCACCTCCTTACTTCTGGACTCTAGTGCAGACGTTCGAACTACTGCATCAAGCAGGTGCGATGTAAAGATTTGATGTGAATTAGAGAATAGCATTCTGTGCAGTAGTAAATATTCTGCAATGAAACAAAAAATGTCATAGATGCAGTTATTCAATGTAGGGGAAAAAACTGATCAATAAAACTTCAAAATTTTGCTATGTATTGCAAATAATCTACTGATTCTACAAAAGTATGTACAACCACATGTATACCTTCAAAAGTATTTTACATAGAATAGGGGAATGTATAATGGTTTTTCTAGGTTTACGAACACTGCAACAAGACTCCAGCGGATGTTGGATTTCTAAATTAAAGTAATTTACATTCCGTTAATTCCTGATATCCTACATTTAAGTTATTGATCAGCAATTTATTTCCAAACAGTTTACAACACTGCTTCTCTAAATGTTATCAAATGAAGTAAAAATATTACTGAAGAGCTATTATAACGTGTTCATGCGTTTTTAGACTTTGTGTGCTTCTAGTGTTTATTCAATGCTAAATAAGAAAAAGAAAACAGATTTTGATCAACCGGAGATACAACTAAATGAAAGATAAAATTATATTAACAAGCATCTGTGATTAACAAAGATGGAATTAGAAGCCGTAGATGAGTAAGCAGTCCTAGCTGTCCGGTAGCAGTAAAACCTCTATCTACGTATATTAGTGGAGTGACAAGACCATCAAAAATTTGATTTTAATGTACCACCCTACCCTACGGCTGATTTGTACTTTTTTGGTCAGATATATCATCAGGCAATAATTTTTGCCCGGTCGTAGAAAATTCTATGGTCAAAATTTAAAAATAAAAGGAGATCAAAGATCAACGAAGGAAATCTGACCATAATATTGTACATATGAAGAAAAGTTCAAGGAATTCATGAAAATAATGTATATCTGCATAGGAATTCTATTTATTCGGTGAATATTTCATGGAAAAGGAACGGAAAATTGAATAAGTATGCCCATTTGTCTGTCTGTCATATGAAAGGTTTGTCTTATAGTATTTTATTTAAACTTAAAAGGTTTAATGCCAATGTACGTTATTCTTTACGTACAATCACGTAATATTTAGTACACAAGGTAAAGAAAATAAAAACAAGAACAACAACACCCATCACCCCTACCCCCCACCCCCATCCACCCATCCACTCCTAAAAAATCGAAATATGACCATAAATTTCGCACTTTTTTAAAATGTCATGTTTTTATTAAGCCCTTTTCATCTGATTCATTATTTTTTAAAGAAATTGTTCGACGCTGTTTAAAAAGCTTTTTAGCTCACCTGAGCCGAAGGCTCAAGTGAGCTTTTCTGATCACATTTTGTCCGTCGTCCGTCTGGCCGTCTGTCCCTCCGTCTGTCTGTCCGTCTATAAAAACTTTTCACATTTTCGACTTCTTCTCAAGAACTACTGGGCCAATTTTGACCAAACTTGGCACAAAGCATCCTTGGGTAAGGGGGGATTTAAATTATTAAAATAAAGGGCCAAGTCCCCTTACAAGGGGAGATAATCAAGAAAAGACAAAAATAGGGTTTTTTCCTACATATTTCTATGTAAAACTTTGATTCCCCATTGTGGCTCTCAATTTAAGATCTAGCCCTCAATTTACAAGTGAAACTTTTTTGCAATAAAGTTCTACGGTCGATACAATGACCTTGTCAGCAAATACAATTTATCATTGAGTCAAAAACTGATTGACACTTTTCATACTAATTGTTAGTCAATTAAAAAATCTTCTTTTCAAGAGCCACTGGGCCAGAAAAGCTGAAACTTATGTGAAAGCATTCTGGGGTAGTGTAGATTTTAAATTGTTCAAATCATGACCCCCGGGGGTAGGGCGGGGCCACAATGGGGAATCAAAGTTTTACATAGAAATATGTTGGAAAAATCTTTTAAAATCTTCTTCTGAAGAACCACTGGTCCATAAAAGCTGAAACTTATGTGGAATGATTCTGCGGTAGTGTAGATTCTAAATTGTTCAAATCATGACCCCTGGGGGTAGGGCGGGGCCACAATGCGGAATCAAAGTTTTACATAGAAATGTATAGGAAAAATCTTTGAAAATCTTCTTCTGAACAACCACTGGGCCAGAAAAGCTGAAACTTATGTGCACATGGAAGCATCCTGGGGTAGTGTAGATTTCAAAATGTCTAAATTATGATCAGTGGGGTAGGGTGAGGTCGCAATATGTATTAAAAGGGGGAAATCTGGTAAAGAACAGAATGGTCAAAGCTTCACAGGTGAGCGATGTGGCCCATGGGCCTCTTGTTTATTAAAAATTCTTTTACAGGCCATCCTTGCTTTCACTCTGAATTTTGGTACTCCGGTCTCATCCAAAGGACAGACAACAGAATATTTAAAGTCTTAATTCTTAAGTCTTAAATTCATTTCTCTGTCTAAACAGGTCATTTTTTTATCAATGAATGTTGTCTATGATTTGAAAATTTACGTTTAATTTCGTGAACTTTTGAATAAGCGTTTACTCACAAATTAAGCAGGTTATATTGTGGAGATTTTGCGGTTTTGAAAGATTTTAAACACGTATTGATGTTAAAGATGCAATTCTGTGAAAAGGGGTGATGAGTTAAATTAATGACGTAATACGTTTGCTAGAGCTGTAATTTCTATTCATTGGTTCTCATGTACACGTACATGTATATCTTTATTGTTAACTTTTCAAGTATATGTTTCAACTAGAGCCGAACTCGTTGCAAAGCAACGAGTAGGTCTTCCGTTGGAGCTGTGGACAGGAAGTACAGACCTTGGGTCAAGGTCACTGCACTTTCTTATGTCAACAACCTTTCTTCCCAGCATGAGCCTCCAGTAAATTTTAATTATAAAGTTATGCCTAAACATTTTTTTCTTTTTCAGTGACCTTGATTTGCCAGAAAGACATTTGATCAAGGTCATGACAAAACCTCCAATAATAAGTAATCTATGTTTCAAGTAAGAGCCTCCAATGATTTTCATTTACTTATTCATAGCGTAGTTAAGAAAATATTTCTTCTGTCAGTGTTATAGATAAGTTTAACTTGATAAAGTCTAAACTTTTAATGTAACATCAAGACAAACACCTTTTAGTGATTAGAAGTTCATAACCCTAACAGGAATTTTACAACTTTTCTGTCATTGGCCGATGAAGATGTTTGAAATTTGCATTATCTTGCACCATTTTGTCACAGGTCAGAAAAACAACATTGAGGTATTTTAAAACATCACCGGATATTAATATTCAAACAACATGGAGTTTCTATTTATGACAGATAGACGGGGTTGAAAGTCCTTTCCATAATACGTATTTTAGGTAATAGCTTTACTTTCAATAAAATTAAACTCAAAAGTCCACAAATAAAATATCTTTCCTCATTTATTTCAAAGTTTGGGTAAAGGGGGTGAGGAGCATGGGGATGTCATGATGTATACGTAATACATTCGAGGTTATTATTCTGTTAGAGAGGAAGACCCGAGGAGTTGTGATTTGCTGATCATGATCTAAAACACGTTGACAAACCGAAACCACATGGTTTTATACACGTTATTCAATCAATTCATTCATAATTATTTTCCTTGAAGGAGGAATGCATGGATAAAGGATTAAAGAAAATTCCCGATGTACAATAGCATCCGTGCATGGACTTCATTTTAGTACTACATAATGATATTGTGTTTGAAGTTGAATAAAATCATCAAATAAATTGAATTTAAACAGGAAAGGGAGATTATGTTTAATAGAATAAAAATTAGACAATACTTGATACAGGGACTCGCTGGTAAAAACTTGAATGTACTTGAATAAAATGCCTCTCACTGATCTCTTTCTCTCGTACGCGTATTTCTTAAACCAAGGAAAGTAATTTGCGCTAGATATTTA